GCCACCCTACCTTTTCATAGACAATGCTGCAGCAGTGGCTGGGGATAAGTTGCGCGTGACAGCGGCTGCAACACGGACCAATGTGAGTGACCTTGGGACAAAATCACTGAGCCCTCACCGCGTCCGTTTCTTGCTTGGCTTGTGCAACTTCCGCAACTCGCGCGATGGCTATCGCCGTGTTGGCCAGGAGGAGATCGATGCTGATTTGAACATGTCTGCAGTGCGTGCTACGTGCAAAAATTTGCAGCAGCTGTGCAGAAGTGACATCGGAGGTGGAACGGCCCGCATCTTGAGTGTTGTGCGTTGTGCATTGCAGATGACAACAAGCAAGGGTGCAGACGCAAGCAATGATGATGAGGATGAAAGGTTTCTGGATCAATTCTTGAATTGCGTCATCCAGTTTGTGGCTATGTCTATGCAGCTGATGACCTGCACCCTGGGACTTTCACTTGTGTGTGGCAGATTGTGATCATCCTTGCGTGTTTGCTGACTGCAGCGAGATGCTGTGTGCACCGTCCGAGCGCAGAGGCAAACCCAGGAGTGACAGTGAATATCACATGTGGGCCAGGCCCCAGCGAGGCTGCACAGGTCAGTTTGCCAGTACATGGTGCAAGGCCGAAAGGACAGTCACGACCGAATGTGCAAAGTGAGGATGAGAGGGCCCAGAGCCCCGGCGCGCATGAGTCGCACAACGATGGCTGCCGCCCCGGGTCATCGAGTGACCTGCATGTGCACATGCCACTTGATACCGCTCGCGATGTGCGTGTGAGTGTGAGCCGATCTGGGAGCGAGCAGACCGAGAGATCGTCAAATGACATTCCGAATGCAAGGCCCATTCCTCGGCGGCGAAATCCGCCACAGCAGAATCCAGATGGTGTTTGGGTGTCGACGAGCCAAGGTTATGCATTCCACAAGGCGACGTGCGGAAAGCTTAATCAGAGTGCAGGTGTGACCGAGATCACACGTCAGCGTGCAGTTGAGAAAGACTAGCGGCTACCGTGCATGTAGGATTTGCAAACCTTGAAAAGCGTGCCAATCTTCTGGTGACGCCGTGCTCGTGCGCTTACGTCTTGCTTTTCTAATGCTCATGAGGCACAATGGATGCCATGTACATAGTCAGTCAGCTATGCCTCGACGTGGTTGATTGACAGGCTGCCGATGGTTTTCAATGGTTGTACATAGCTTGACAAGGTATGGCATGGACGGCATGTGATCACTTGAACGAAGGCTTGCAGCATTTTGCTGCCAATCCGCGAATGATACCACATTGTCTTGAGCCGTGGAGCGGCTCAGTGCTGCTGAGGTGCCTTTGGCACCCAAGAACGGTAACTAGGCCGTTTCAGTCCTTTTGTTGACTGGGCGCCGAAAGCGCATGAACCACCATGAATCCGCCACTCCTTGATAACTTCGCTTGCGCCAGTCAAGCGTGCAGTTGTGTCACCGACTTAAGGTCGTGGATACAACCCCGTAGACAGAGTAGTGTACAGTCTACTCGTAGTTACTTGTAGTGAACATCCGAGCAAAGCCTTGGGCCGGCTAAAACAAGCCCAATACGCTAGTCTAGACAAGTGCACTGGGGCGTGTTTAAAACGTCGTACAAGCTGTTGTTTCGTACTTGCGGAATCGTTCAGCACAGTATGCCCCTGAAGCACAGGTTCATCCTGTGGCGGGGTACGAACGATTTTCCGGTATTCGTGAGCATGCTTTTCTACTTGTTTTATCATGCATTTTACTTTCGCTCCTTTAGGTGTGCACTTGCGCGAACTCCGCTGTGACTGAAGGCCTTTGTTGCTCAGGAGTGTGGAAAAGTTCGTAGAAAAAGAGAGAGAGAGAGAGAGAGAGAGAGAGCCGACGAGCGAGAAAAAAAAAGTGTTTCGTGCCTCAACCTCAACACTTTTGCACATCAAGTTGATACGTGCAGTAGGTGAGGCCGCCCAGACAGTCGTTGATAACACTCGCTCCGATGACTCCAACCGTACGCCAATCTTTGGACAGCAGCATTGTGCCAACCAATCGCAAAGCAACCGTTTGCCGTCTGTGAGGGTTTCGCATTGGGCGGAGCACAAGGGGGACAGAACCGCCCGTCGATGGGGCATCCTGAGAACGAATCCTCGGCGAGGCCTGTCGCTTCGGCTCTGCACTCTACTGTCAGACTGTAGGGTTGCCTGCGCAGTCAGGCTTCAGATTGAGATTGAAGGAATGGGACACGCAGCGAAAAGTACAGGAAACAAAAAACCACGGAGGGCGACCGACTCGTTTCTCTTAACCCACCCATCCTTTTCACGGCAACAGTGATGAGATGCGTCGCACTGCTTGCATTTTTGCGGTGGAAGGCAGTTGGCCACAAGCACCTTTGCTGCTGTTTTGGCCAATACACCATCTCAGACTTTCACACCCTACCAAGCCCGGGGAGATCTGCTTCCCCCCTAAGCCTGGGAGGAGAAGAGAGAGGGAGAGAGAGGGCGAGATGGAGAGGCTTCGCCCGGATCCGCCGTTTTGTGCTCTGAGGTTCGCCCCGGTCTTCAAAGCGAAGCTTTGGAAGGTCAAGGCTGGGTTTTTCCGGAGCGGAGCGGCAGAGTCACTGCAGCTCACATCGCTCAGGCGGAGGGCGATCGACGGAAGGAAGAAGATTGGTGGCGCAGCTGCGCCTTCTTGTTTTCTCACTGAGCCTGGCCCGGGCGTTGAGTCTTTGAGGTTCGAGCGCGAGATGTGGATTGCCAAGAACGGCAGTCTCGTCTACTGGAGCAAGAAGGAGGACCGGAGTGCGACCCAAGATGTACACGACGCGACTTCCCACTTTGCTCGCGCTTTCCAGGATCGTGACCTGGTCTACTACACCTCCGAAGCTCGGAAGAGAATCGGAGGGGAAGGGAAGGGCTCGCAGCTCGCAGGCGACAGGTTTCGATTGAAACTCTCACGACTCCGGATGAGGCCTTCAGGCGTCATACGCAGTGTCGAGACATCTTTCATGATGGGGACATCGCTGGGATGCTGCCCAGGTGACGGCTGCCGGGTATATGCGGGCTGAAGCGGGAATCATAAATCTCACCTGGACATGACTCCATGATAGAAGTTGCGTGCGCATCGCAACGCTGTTCGGCGTTCGGTCTGTTTTTAAGAACATGTCAAGGGGGGCTCAGTAGATTGCGTGGCAGCGGCGCTTTCCGGACCCGGTGGCACCGGAAAGCTTTCCAGAGGCTTGGCAGCCGACGGAGAGGCCCAAAGTCTCGGAGGGGAGCGGAGCACGGCCGGGCGGCCGCGCTGCACAGGGCAAGCTATTTTCCTAGCTATAGGGAGTTGATCCCTCGGCATCGGTCGTCAGGCTCACGAGGTTCCTTCCGACCCGAGTAAGCGCAGATGTGTCAGTCTCCGGAGACTCCACAAAAAAAGCATCTCTCTCTTTCCTCTGGGGCTTGGGTGCTTGGACGACGAGGATGATATCGCACGCGCGACCATCACGCTGGTCCCCAACGATGATAGCTTCATCCCCTGGGCTTTCCAGGCTGGGACCCCAGGAGGGCCACAGCCGCTGCTGCTCCGCGTCGTGGCTTCGCCTTGAGAGGTCCACCTTCCCCCGATTGGAGAGGTGGAGTTCACACCCGGCGAGTTTGCCGCCGAATCCGAGGCGCAGAGACCCGTCAGCCGTCAGCTTTTTGCTTTGATTTCAGCCGTCGCTGCGTCTGCTGCAGAGGCGATGCGGGACTGTTGGATCGAGGAGTTGGCTTCCCAGAGAAGTGGCCGCCTCTCCTCTCCTCAGCCTGACTCTTGCGACAGGCTGAAGGAACGCGTGGCTGATCAAAGATGACTCAGAGAGGCCTCTCGGAATCCTCCTATTGCATGAATCATGTGTTACGTTGACATGCGGTGGAGGCGGCATGAGGCGGCAAGCCAAGTGCCGCGCTTGATGGCCCCTTTCACGGAATCTTCTCCACTCGAGGACCAGGAAGAGGCACACCCAAAAGACCGGTGCGTGCCTCCCTCCTCTCCTCTCCGTCTCACCGTCTGCGAGCGGAGCTCGAAAAGCCTCATACGGCATATATGGCATATATGGCATATTCATGTCTGCATGGCATGGCGGCATAGCATTGCACACAGCACTGTCACTTGAAGCTTCCGGGGCGGCGCTCTGCAGAGCGCAGCTCGCTCGCGGGGGCCCGGGCGGCTTGCACTGCACTCGAAGCACGGATGCTCAGCGAATTTGCCACCCCTGTATGGCCTTAAGAAGGCCTTGAGTGCTGAAACTGCGGAGAGAGTGGTGACACGCCCCGTGTCACACGCCGTAGTTGGTCGCAGACTTCACCAGACCTCGCCAAGAAAAAGCTGCGTCTACCGCAGGAGAAGGGCGGCAAGACTTGAAACTGAGTCGCGACGAAGGGATGGGTTCCCCCCCGTGAGACACAGCGTTGAAGGCTTGGGCCCCGAAAGGAAGGCAGCAGGGCTGGGTGAAAGGATTCAAAGGTCTCTCGAAGTCTCTGAAGGGCTTGCCGCGCTGAGTCGCCTGTCCTGTCGGCGTGGTGGCCCTGCTCAGTTAGAGCTCTCAACACAGAGGCAAGCAGCCAGCAAGGCAGCAGAAGCAGCTAGCAGCCATTTGCGCAGGACCTTACGACACGTCGAGACGCTCTCATCACCCCCCAAAAAAAGTAGTAGCAAAGCAGGAAAGTCACTAAACACTCGCGACAGAGAGTGAGAACTTGAGAGAGGGCTCTCCGTGCTCTGTGAGATTCTGTGAGACTGTGGGCCAGCGCCTCGGCGCTGCGGCTCTTAAGCGGTTCTCTGCTCAGCCGGAGCGCGGGCGCTCCCGCTCCGTCGCTGCTCAGGCTGGCCGCCGGCCTTTTCGGCGTGCGCCCACGGAAAAGAAAGCGCGAGGCGCCGCGGGACGCCCGGGGACGGGGGGGGGGAGCGGTCACATCGGCTGGGGATCGGCGCGTAGAGAGGACGCGGCGGAGCCGGGGAGCGGTCGGGGGAGCGGCCTTGGCTTCGTCGCCGCGCTTTTCGAGGCGATGCTGGGAATTTTCAAGGACGATCCGGAGCTGCGCGTGCACGCCGGGAGCCCCAGAAAACTGCTACCACCACCTCCTGCCGCCTGCTGCCGCCTGCTGCTGACGCTGCTCTTGCTCCGTTCGGCTGCAGCTCTGCAGCTGCTGCGGCCTCGCCTGCAGCTCTGCTGCAGGAATCACAGATCATGCACCGCGTGAACGCCTTCCGTGGCTGGAAGGAACAGCGCCAGCCTCAGACGGAGTTTCATGGAGCCGATCCGCAGCTGCCGGCTCATGCCGAGGTTTCGAAAAACTGAAGGAGGTATTGAGTCCTTCGCAGAAGGATACAAGATCTTCGGTTTCCAGAGGCACAGCAGAGTCCTCTTCCCTTCTTTCCCGCGCAGTGGAACACATGCTGCTTGGAGCGCGGCGCCGCGGCGCCGCGGCGCGCCGCCTGGGGGTTTCCTGGGACGACGGACGCGCAGCCGCGGAGAGGAGCTAGGAAGGGGCATGCAGGGCGCGAGACGGTGTGCTCCACTCCTCCACCGGACCGGTCACTGTTTCAGCTGTTGCTCTGTTGCTGCAGTGCTCTGGCAGGCACGAGGCCGAGAAGAAGTGGAGCTTCAACGAATGGCTGCCAGCAGCAAGGAAAGTTTTCCTCGTAGGAGAATTCAATGCTTGGGAGCCTTGGCCCAGAAATCCGCCCTCCCATCCGTCATCCCATCCATCTCGCTCTTAAGCGCTGGGATTTTTGTGGGGCACGGTTCTTGACCAAGGAGAAGACGCATCCCATGACACGTTGCCGGATCCTCGGAGCGCCCTCAGAAAGAATCCGCAGCGGAGACTGGGGACTGTATTGGCCCCTTTTTCGAGGCGAATACGGTCGCTGGACAATTGACCTGCCTGATCATGAAGATGGTCGCTGGCTAGTACCTCACAGGCGTGCCATGGCCCAGCAGCGAAGTTCCCCCCTCTCAGTCTTTCGCCGGCAGGTCCCAGATCCGTGCGGAGCTCTGTCTTGAGTCTCGAGCGTCGGTTTTCTGCGGCCGTAGCGGCCTTAACGCATGTCAGGATTGCGAATCGAGTCGGAGTCCGGGACCTTCGACCGGGTGCCGGCGTGGACGAAGTTTGCGGAGGCCGGGCCCGCAAGTTTTAGCGGGCTCCGCGCCCTGTCTGCCCCCCCCCTGCCATCCTCCATGGAGGACACGGAGCTCCACGTCTACAACGCTGTGATGTGGGAGCCGCCGCCCTGCGAGCGCTACGTCATGCGCCACGCGAGGCAGAGAGAGAGAGAGAAGAGAGAAGGGCTCATGTTTTGAGGAAGCAGCGGTTTCGCGGGCGGTTGCGCGGGGTTTCTCTCTGCTCAGGCCTCGGAGGCCTCGGGCTTTGAAGGTCTACGAGGCACACGTGGGAACGGCGAACGGCGGAGGAGAGGCCGGAGCCGGAGCCGCTTCGGCGGGAGCCGCGGCGCCCGCGGTGCACACGCCGGCGCCTCGGAGAGCGGAGCGGCGGAGAGAGAGAGCGGCCGTGCACACACCGCGGCGGGAGCTGTTCCTTTCCGCCCCCGGGCTCCGCTGTTGTCAGGTACTTGGAGTTCAAGGCTCGGCAGCCGGGTTCTCCAGTGAAAAGCCTCGACTTTGGCCCTGAGTCTCACTTCTCTACCGCGGCGCGATTGAGCCGGTCCGGCTGCCTGCAAAACGGCCCGAGAGCTCCCTCTCCTGCTCTCCTGGTCCTGTCGAAAGCACGGGAAGAGAGCGGCCGCACCAAAAACACAGCGAAGAGAGAGAGAGAGGGGCAAGGGTTTTCGCCCCTGTACCCCACACGCCTTGCAAGCAAGCAAGAGAGAGAGCGAGGGAGAGAGCAAAAGAGATTTCAAAGTAAGCTTCTCGGAGTCTTGCTTCTCCCTGCGAAGAAGTCGCCTCGAGGAGCTTCAGCCCGTCTCTGGCAAGCCCCGAGCCCCCCCCCCCCTACACCCACAATCACCCACACACACACACACACACACACACACACACACACACACACACACACACGCCGCTACGCGCGGGCTTCGCGAAGACACCCTCCGCCGAACTCTCTGGGGCACCTTTGCTCATTGGTGACGGCAGGGCAAGGCGGAGAGAATGAGCCTTTGCAAAGGGACTCCTGGCATGTCACGTGACATCTCGCGACTGGCGCGTGATCCCCCGCGTGGAGTTGGAATCCAGCCTTTGGCGCATCTCCGGGCTCTTTCCAGCGGGTGCAGCTGACAGTCTTGCAGGCAGTGCTTCCCAAGATCAAGAGCTTGGGCTACAACACGGTGCAGGCCCGCAGCAGCGCAGCAGCAGTGCGCAGCAGCGCGGTGCCGTGGCGTGTCGTGCTCCCGGCTCCCGCTTCGCGTCAGTTCGTGGCCGTAGCGGAGCATTCGGACTATGCCTCTGCGGGTCGGGTGCTGAGCAAAGAGCCCTCATCCTGGGCCCCAGACAGATCGCCTCCTTTCGCTCCTGGAGGTCGGCAGGTGACCAGCTTCTTCGCACCTTCCAGCCGTTTCGGGACGCCGGAAGAGTTCAAGGCTCGCCCAGCTGTCAGCGGCCCTTCCGATTCGTGAATATCCTGGTATCTGCAGGAGCTAGTGGACACGGCGCACGCCCACGGCCTCACGGTGCTCTTGAACTTGGTGCATTGCCAGCTCTCCCCGCATGAGTGCCGGCACTCGGAAGAGCTGAACGTTTACAGCTGCAACACGATTCCGGTATATTGACATTGAAGGCTGGACGGAATCGCGTCCATGGACGGCACCGACTGCTACAGGCCGAAAGTCTTTGCCATCGCATCTGCCATCCCTGCCCCGGCTCCCCGGCGGGCTCCGAGGCACGCGGGAAGCAAGGGCTGGCAGGCACGACTGCACTCTTTGCGCAGCTGCTGCTTTCATACAAAGCTGGATGTTTGTGTGTGTGTGTGTGCGTGTGTTTATGTACGACCATGTTGTTTCCTTGTTTTACGAGGTCGCACCCGCCCTGTTTGGAACTCCGGCATCTTCTGGTTCTTGCGTGAAAGAGGGATTGCCGGTATTGGGCTTTGCATTGTAGACTTTGTATACTTGAAGGACGCTACAAAAATAGAAAGCCAACGTCCGCCCTTCAATCTAAAGGTTTAAGGACACGATAAGTCTGTAACGCCAATGTCCACGTTAAAATTGTTGTATCGTGTTGTATCTTTGTATTGTAGACTTGTAATCTGTAATTTAACGACGCATAGTATCGCCAACGTTCACCCTTATGTTTCGGTGTCTTTGTGTTGTCCACTGTATAGGCTTTGAGGACACTGCAACCATTCAACTTTAAATTTTCGTCTCTTTGTAACGCCAATGTCCACCCTCAGGTTTGTGTATCCTTGTCTTGTGGACTGTAAACTTTATGGAAACTATGAGTTTGTAACGCCAACGTCCACTTGTAAAGTGTTGCATCTGTGTATTGCAGAGTTTGTAAGCTTTAAAGACACGGTAAGTGTGTAGCGCCAACGTCCACCCTTCAAATTTTGTATCTTTGTGTAGTAGACTGTGTTCTCTTTAAGCACACTGCATGCTTGTAACGCAAAGGGCCACACTCAGTGGTTGTATCTTTGTATTGTACCACAAGCTTGTACTGCCAGCGCCCCACCTTAAACTATTCTATTTGTGTAGAGCTCGTAAACTATAGTGACACTCTAAGTTGGTACCCGCAACGACCGCTCCTGAATTATTGTATCTTTGTATTGTAGACTTTGTGATCTTCATGGACACCATAAGCTGGTAGCGCCTGTATCTTAATCTTTGTACTGTAGAATGTGTCAACTTTAAGGCCACCAAAAATTGTAGCAGCAATGTCCACGTAGTGTAGACCTTGTGATTTTCAACGACACTCTATAACGGTGTAACACCTCCACCCTTCAATTTGTGTATCGTTGTTTTGTAGACTGTGGTTTCTTTAAGGGCACTACCCGCTTCAAACGGCAACGGCCATCCTGAAATTGCTGCATTTTTGTATTGTCGACTTTGTAATCTCTCAGGACACCACAAGCTTGTAACGCCAACATCTACCCTAATCTGTTGATATGTTATTGTATTGTATGCTTTGTAAACTAAGGACATTACAAGTTTGTAATGCTAACGTCCACCCTGAAATTTCTGTATCGTTGTACTGCAACGTTTGTAGACTTTGAAACACGATCATGTAGGTTTGTAACGCCACCGTCCACCCTTCCTTTCTTGTATCTTTGTATTGCAGACTTCGTCCATAAAGCAAACGTCCACCCTTCGACTTCCAAGAGAGTCAGGACCCTATAGATTTGTAACGCCAACGTCCTCCCTTCCTTTCTTGTATGTTTGTTTTGTGGACTTTGTAAACTTTAATTTTCCGACACATAAGGGCATGATACGTTTGCAACACCAACGTCCATCCCACATTTTGGTATGTTTGGTTGTAGACAGTGTAAACTGCAGTAAACTTCTGTATATTTGTAGCGCAAACATGCACCTTTCAAGTCTTGTCCTTTGTAACGCCAAAGTTCAACCCTCAGATTTCTGTATCTTTGTATGTAGGCGTGGCATACATTAGGGACACTATTAGACGTTTGTAGCGCCAATGTCCACCGTCAAGCTTCTGTATCCTTTTATTGTAGAGCTTGCAAACGGAAAAATACTCTGTAAGAGTGGGACGTCAACGTTCCCCTTAAAGTTTTTGTATGTTTGCCTTGTGGACCTTGTAAACATTCAGACACTATGAGTTTGTAATGCCAACGTCCACCTTTAAATTTGTGTATCTTAGCATTGTAGACTTCGCAATCGGCAAGGACATCAAATGCGTGTAACACCAACGTCCACCCTGAAATCTTTGTTGTGTTGTGTTGTAGAATTTGTAAGCTCAAAGCTTGTAACGCCAACGATCATCCCTGAATTGTTGTATCTTTGTTTAGTTGAC